CGTACATCGCCTTGGCCGTACAGCGGTACCACTGTATATGTTCCAGCTTTTCAAGCAAATCAATGTGAAAACAGGTATAACATTTTTAAATGGTCAGATAGTTTAGAGATTGGTCTTTTACAGAAATCAGTTTTATTCCAGAATTGTAATTTGCAAAACTGAAATAGAAAAAAATAAACTTTAAAACTTCAATCAATCAACTAGAATGGTATTTATATATTTAATTTATCGCCCATGCTTCTGCTCTAGTGAGAACACAAGTAGCTAACAATTGTTTTAAGAAAAATCAAAAAGTTAACCACATTAAATTTATGCTTAAAATGGCTTGGCAAAGAAGATTTACAGTTCTTAGGTTTGAAGAAAATGGAGGCCAAGTTAACTCTGAAGGAAATGTTTTCCCAGACCTTTGGTACAAACAGGATAAAGCCCTCCTCCATAAGTCATATGTGAGCCTGGCAGCAGAAAGGCCTTTCTAGCAACTTAGCACCACATCAGTATGTAAGGAAGAAGTAGTCCATCAGGTAGTCAGACCCTAAGCTATTTAGGACATAAAAATTTAATGACACTACCATCAATTCTGCCTGGTACATTACAAATGTTTGGTCTCTGTATCTTAAATTAGCTATGTGCCAAATTGTACAATAAGGATAACCTCACAAAGTGCATTGTAGCAGTTGAGAAAGGATGTGATCAAGGTACTGATTGTGACCAAATGTGGCTAGCTCATGAAGGAGCATAAGTGTCACAGTATAATTGGGCAAATGCAGTCCTCACATAGGAATCTAATAGTATCTGAGGAACATTCCAGACCACCTCTTTTTGGAGACTGTAACTATCTAAAATAATCTCTACTCTGAATCTAGTTTTCTATTTCCAGTAGCATGTGCCTTGTCTGAATTTATGTTCAGCTTAATCTCCATCATTAGCCTATTACTGAACTTAGGCAATGTTCAATGGTACTTACTGCTTCCTTAGAGGGGTGGTAAGGAATAATAGAGCTAGGAGTCATCAGCATGATTGATGGCACCTCATTTCAGACTTCCAGATGATTGCCCAGCAGTTTCATGTAGCTATTAAACTACATGATGTATGCATGATAAGATGAAACCCTATTAGATGCTGTGTTAAACTGGTCCCTTAAAATTACTTTCTGGAATCAGTCCAATAAGAAGAACTGGAGCCATTACAAAATAGTACCCCAAGGCTAATCCTGCCAAGTGGTCCATAGACTACTATGAAAGATGATGTCGAAAACTGATGTGAAGTGCAAAACTACAATTTCCTAACCAATTTGGGGTGATGGCCATCCACCAAGGTGACCAAAGCAGTCTTAGTGCCATATCTTACCTGAAAATCCAACTGAAATGGGTCAAATTAAATTTCATTCAGATACATCAGGAGTTACAAATCTACCATCTCTTCAGTCACTTCTCTGAAAAATGACATGTCTGTGATTGGCCTATAATTCCACAGATCTCCCAGATCAAGGGAATTTTTCTTCAGTATTGGCCTCCTTTACAAAGGGGAAATACATCACACATACAAAACTGCACTGGTCACTTCCTTACCCTTGGGCCAGTCTGGCACTGCTCTTTTAATCAGACAAGAGGGATGAGTTGGACATCCTTTCGTCTAGATTTTCAAAAAGTTCCTAAAGACAACAGAACAAGCAGTTGCTTAGGTAAAATCCCTATGATCTGCCCAACACTAGAATCCAAACTGAAGAAAAACCCATTTATTTTATTAGCAATGAACAATGCAAATTGAAGGAGATGCCTTATTGTACAGAAAATCAGTATCAGCACAATAGGCATTGAAAAGTACTCTTCTTTGCTACCTCCTCTGCCATGGAGTAAGATTTCAAATGGATCTTAAGATGGGCCTCAATCTGTGCTGGATCTGATTTATCTACCTATCCATCAGTCATCAACTTATATAGCTGTCCATGCTGTAACCACAACACTGGGCAACTCACAAAACAGTAAAGACAGCAAAAACCCACAAGAAAAACTTATGGTACCCCAGGGCAATTCCTTTACTTGCACTTCAGCTGACATCCCTTCTGCTTCATCAGCCTGAAGATTCTAGTAAAGCAAAGGGCTAATGTGGTTCTGTGAGACAGAAGAGGGAGCTTAGAAACAATAGTGTCAACTACCTAGGCCATCTTTTATTCCACAGCTGAGGTAGAGCTTCAACAGATGAGGTGCATTCAGGAAACCATCTCCAAAGTATCAGTGACTGGATTATTTTAATCAGTCCTCTGCTCCTGCCAATCTAAGTCCATAGAAAGATCTGTCTATGACCACAGAGCTACACAGAGCTCCCCACTTTCAGTTCACTAGCTCCATCCAAACACAATACCTAATTCTGTATGTGCTGTGATGCACGCATTGGGCCAAATACCAATTAGAACTTGTCCATACTCATTGGGTAGAATATGAAATCCAGAGTTACTTAAGAGTGATGTCTCCCAATAAAAAAAAGCCAACATGTGGGGGCCCTTGCTTTTTGGAATGTACTATCCCCCAATATATAGCTGGCACCAACTCTGCAGGCCTTTAGAAAGGCAGTCAATACATGGTTCTTTTCCAGGCCCTTGGATCAGGATGAGTGGAATCCCAATTGGGTGAGTTATATTTTAGTCTGATTGCCATTTTATTGTTTTAGTTGCATTGTGTTATTTTCCTTGTGGTTGCATTTCTTGGTTTCTTTTTCTTTTGTATGCTGCCCAGAGCCACATTGTTAGAGTTGGGTGACCATGTACTATTATAAATTCAAAAATGTTATAAATATTACTTCTAAGACCATTACAGCTAGTTCAAGAAATCAGTGTACCAGCACATGAATTGTCCCTCCCCCACTGGTGTCTTATCAAATTTGCTGAACAGCCCACTAGGTAGAGTTGGGAAAGATGAATCCTAACTCTTCACTCAGCTATGTTTCAGCAATATGTCAGCTCAACACAGTCATCCAGAATTAAATGCTAGTTAGAACATGTTTCACTACCAACTAATGTAGCAGAAGTCACTCTTCTGATTTACAAATTTGGTCACTTGAATACCTATGAACTGGCAGTAAAAAACAGCCTTCACCTATATACAGTATCAATCCTAAAAACATACATAAGATTAGCAGAATGACTTGAATTTGTTGGACGGTGGAATAATTCCATTCTATGTTAGCAAAACCCCAGAAAAAATGGCAGAATCTGGCCTGCAGGAATTTCTTTATACCATGAGATGATTTGTCCATTTAGCGTGGGCTTATTAACATTGACTGGAAGCTTCTCAAAGCAAATTAATATAGCAGTCACTGAAATTCTACAAGTTGTATATCTTGGTACATTAAAAACTTAGAATGCTTTATAAACTGTTGGATATACTGTTCTGATGTCTCCTGGTTATTGGCACCTTATTACTTATACTTGTATAGTCCCATAAATGTATGTGGCATTTTGGTGCTCAAATTACAGCTGACGCAGAAATGAACTAGAAAGATGCTTACCTGTGTCTTAGTATTACTGGTTTACCAAACAGTAGTCCAGGTCCTGATGTGAACTCTGCACTGACTAGCTCTAAGAATCTTCTAAGAATGACTCATGCAGCAACCAATCACCTAAATCCAAAACTAAAATGCACTGCAGCGGTGCTTATATTATCTGATGGTTTAAAATAAATTCAAACCCAGTATAGTTAGTTTGCTGAACAACTTTAAAACTATGCTTGACAGGACTTGTCTAAGTTAGGCTACAAAAAACCAATCTTCTATTAGCTTACCAGGCCTCTGCTTTTAACAGCTGTAGTAAACTATTTCATATAATGCACAAAATTTAGAGATACCTAGAAATGAACTGATAGACAAGAACTAAATTCCCATTTTTTGCTCAGCTTGTTAGGAGTTAAAGAACTGTAGATTAAAAAAAATCCACTGATCTCCAAATTGTGCTTTTTTAATATGACCGTTATATAATTAAATAAAACACAGAGAAGATGGATTTTACAAAAATATATTATAAATAGATTTGATTAGTTAACAAAACTTTTATCTGAAACACACACAAACATCTTTTTGCATGAAGGTCAAGCAATATTCATATTCACTTAAAACGTGATTGTTATTTTTCTTGATATTTCATAATGTATTAAAGTGCAGATAGTAAAATCTTTTTCAAAGATAAATTGTGGACAAAATTCATACAATGATAACAAACTTCAAACAGTGTTTTCAATTTTCTCAGTATTTTAAGATTACAAAAGTCCAGCTTGGTGAATGATGAAAAATGGAAACTTTATAATTTTTTTCAGACAGCCAAACTATTAAAAAATTGAGAAACGTCTTATTAG